CACAAGTCTCTTTGTTGCCGCACTTTTTGCTAAAAACTATCGGAAACCTGTTTCTTCCATTAAAGAGATTGTGTCAGAATTGTCTATTAATAAGGTACCATTCCCTCCATTTGCCCTGGATTACAGTAAATTCCAAGGCCTGAAAGCTTGATACTGATGGGCATAAAACAGATATACAAATTATGTCATTTTGTGGCCGGGACCTAAAGAAGAGCAGGAAACACATCTACTAAATGAAGTTAAACAAATGCTGCCTTTCCTTTCTGTGTTGTCTTTACATTCATCAAAGGCATTTTAATTCAGAATTTAGTGCTTACATAATGCAGGCCAATAATAGCCCGAGAGGTAGTTACATAAAGATGGGTAGCTAACAACCCCCTTACTCCTTTGTTTTCTCCTAAAAGGTGTAACCTGCCTTGCTAACCACTATAGCATTTTCCATAAGAGTTTTTTATCCTTGACTTTTCATTTTATTTTTTTATTGAGGTAACATTGGTTTATAACATTATATAAATTTCAGGTGTACATCATTATATTTCAGTTCCTAGGTGGACTACATCGTGTTCACTACCTGAAGTCTAATTGCCATCTATCACCGTACACATGTACCCTTTTACCAGTTTCGCGCCCCCCCACCTCGCCCTTTCACCTCTGGTAACCACCAATCTATTCTCTGTGACTATGTGTATGTTTGTTGTTGTTGTTTATTTCATTTGAGTCACATGTTGAGCACCTGCTGTGTTCTAGGCCCTTGGCTAAGTGTTGATGACCAGCTATGGACATAGCTAGCGATGCTCTCAGACCCCACAGAGTGTGAGAGCCCTAACTGGGCAAACGTGGAAAAATGTTGAGGTGTTTTTTTAATCATTTATGAAGTTATCAGTTATTAAATGTCTCAAAGCAATGGCAAGTCATTAAATACTCATGAATGGATTGGAGTAAGGTGAGTTTAATCTGCTAAACCTCAAATTTTCTAGCACAGTCTTAAACATGTCTTGTCTCCTAGACAGTTCTTTCTCTCCCTGACATCAGGAGAGAGTTACTGCCAGCCACTTGTTGCACATACATTGCCTTGGAAATGTACCTTGTGCCTGTTACCATAGCAACACCCCAAGAATGACCTCAGCAGCCACTCAAAATCATTCCTACAAAACAGATTATAGCTATAATTAACTCTCTGAATTTACTCTGCAATATAAATTTGTTCAGACCTTGGTGTTTCTTTGTGAAAGTTTCAATGAATGGAGTAATCCAACATGAACCCATCCCCCCCATATTCCACCAAAGTTTTTCCTCAGAATATGAGATGCTTCAATGGAAAGGACAGTTCAGTTAAGAGGTTATTCCATTACCTTTCTCAGAATGTGACAAGAATCAACAAATGAGGATGCACTAGTCTTACCGTACTAGAACTCCATTCTAAGGGAATAGAGTGGCTTTTCTCCCTAAAATGTGAAATGCAGAAAATGCTGTGAGTCCATTCAAGTCCCGTAAAGCTATAAACCCAGAGTGAGGGGGGCACATGGGGTTGGGGCTTACACAGGCAGAAGCTCTCCACACTGGCCTCTCCTCGGCAGTGAAAAATGCCGGTCTTGGTTGCCTGCACGTTTTTTCTGCTTCACAAGTTGTCTGCAACGTATCTTCAATCCTGGTGTAGCTTCTGAGCCACCCAGACCTTCCTCTAGGAGAAAATAGTTTCTATGTCTTTTGTTTGTTTGGGGGACGGTGTTGTTTTGTGTTGTTTTTATTACCTTGTTTTGGGATGTGTTTGGTTTGGTTTGGGTTTTAGATAATGTATGTTGCAACTAGCAGACTTTGATACAGTTCCTTTCAGTTTTTTCTTCGTTAAACTTGATTAATTTAACTTTTTTCCTCCAAGTAAAGTGAGCCTTTCTCCCTACCATCCAACTGAGGCAAAACAAGAAGAATGTCAAGCAAGAACTGTAGCTCATTTTCAAGTGAATTGCAAATGTATGAAACATCTTTAGTGGCCATTTCCTTGCCATGAAATATGTTGATACCTGGGCAATGAACAGACAGAACTGAGCCTGGCGAGCAGCAAGCGCTCGGTATAAGCTTATTGTTGTTACAACACGCCGTTAACAACATGCCGTTGTTAATCTCTATGAACTACACTGACACTGAAAAGGAGCAAGAGAAAGATGAAGAGGAATAAATATTCTTGCAAGTACGAATGTTTCAGATATTCAGGTAGTATCTCAGTAGTGCCCCAGGTTCACGGAGAGACACCACTGACAATATTTTTAGGCAGCCTCTAATCCCATGTAAGTGGCTTTTCAATCGCAGGTGTGTACCCTGATTCTATCTCACCCGAGCATGTTTTTCAGGGAGCTCAGTTCATTCTAAATTGGAGAGAGACTTGCAAGGTTCTTACTGTGCAATGTGACAGGTAATTCCCCACTTCATTTGCTGGTTCTTTAAATTCTCCTGTGCAAATGCACATCCATGTTTGAAAATGGAGTGGCAACGAATAATCTATTCAGTTCATCTTCGAGAAACAGAAAGTCACCATTTATCTGCCCCACAGGAACATGATAGCACCTTGTGTACAAGAATTAGCCACCTTCTGTTCTGACCTCTGTGTATTGGGATAAGTAAGTAGAAATGGTTTATTGGGCAGGGTATTTCCGAGCAAGCTTGCCAATGTAAATTGGAAGTTCTCTGATTGCTCTAAATTAAATTTTTGCATATAGTATAGTTAAATAAATGGTGATCTTGTGGGTTTCAAAAGGTACATTCATTTCAAGTTTTTCAAATCAAGGAGCTGGTAAATTGGAAAACTCCATCTGTGCAGAGTAGCCAGTTGATTGTGCATTTATGGCATGATGAGTTGGTTTATCTGTAGAGTGAGATACAGACCAGCTCCTAGAACATGGGCTTGTTAACCTCATCCGACAACTCCAAGACCATGCCAAGATATTAACTAAAATTTTGGGTCCAGTCCATTTTTACATTTCCTTCCTGCCTCTCACGTCCATATTCTGCCAACCTCTCCCCCTTTTTGTCCTCCAGCCAGTTTTATAATAATTAAAGATATCAGGCTGGTTCTTATCAGTCGGTAGAGAGCTAATTGCCAACTAGAGAATCACTGATGTGTTTGGGATAAAGCCACTAGAATACTAATTAATTGCTTTGCAATAGGAATTTCCAGGCTGCTACTTTTTTGTCTTAAAGGATTGATACACCTCCAAAGAAGGCAGTAATTTTATTTTTTTGTTAAAGTCAGACTTAGCTCTACTATTTTATGATCCCATGAATTGTAGAGACTTTATGTAATATTTCTTTTCAACACTCACTTTCAAATTTAATAATATCATTAATGTGGAAACACCACTATTAAGAGTGGTATTTAAATAATGCTAAAACTGAATCTCAACATAATAAATTCATCTATCCATCCAATAATAATTATTAAGTACTATTTGCCAGGCACTCTTTTAGGTACTAAGGCAGGAATAATGATGGGTGAGACAGCGTCCTTACTCTAGGTAGATCGTGTCAACGGAGTGTTGGTGCTCTTGCTGAGGTATAACATGCTCCACACCAGACATTCCCTGTTACATGTCTCAGAACTCACTGTCTCTTGTTTGTGGGCATACAGGTGTTGAGGATCTAACCCCTTCCAATTCTATCATTGGTTCCACCTTTTCTTTAAATTTTCTTCACACGTTAGTTACTTTGTGTATACACTTTGTAGTTGTATGTCTTGAAACCATATCTGTGCTCCATCCTCTCCAGGGCCAAGGGGAACATAGTTACTCTTTGATATCATGAGGGTGCTACGCAAAACAGTCGTTTTCACCTGTTTGTCATCAATTTATATAATTGATGACAATTTTCAAAGTTGCAAATTATTTTTTGCAATTTGAGAGGATGAAAAGTGAATGGACTATAACATTTTTGAAATGACAAAATTATACTGATGGAGAACGTGTGTGAGGTTGCCAGGGGTTAGAGTTGGGATGGGTAGCACGAGGCAGTTTCTTTGTGGTGACAGAACAGTTCTGTATTCTGATTGTGGTGGTGATTGCACGAATCTCTACAGGTGATAAAATTTCATAGAACTATACACTCAAAAATGTGTGTGTATATATGTAAAAACTGGAGAAATCTAAACAGGGTCTATAGTTAAGTTAATGGTATTGGATCAGTGTCGGTTTCCTGGTTTTGATAATGTACTGTGGTTATGTAAGATGTTATCATTGGGGGAAGCTGAGTGAGGGGTACAGGGGAAATCTCTGTAATGTTTTTGCAACTTCTTTGGAGTCGAAAGTTATTTCAAAATAAAAAGTGTTTTTTTTTTTTTTTTTAACGGAATGGAAAAGTACCATGTAAGCAGATAAATTTAACGTTTAGGTGTGGTGACTAAACATTAGGACTATCTGATTTAGACATCGTTACCTCTGTAACTAGAAATCTCATGGCTTCACATTAATCATGAATGACTTAGGCTTTGGACAGAATTTAGGACACAGTATCCTGCTGTCCTCTCTTAGGGGAATAAGGAAATACATTCCAGGAAAAGGCTCTGATGTTCTGCAAAAAGGCCAAAAAAAAAAAAAAAAGCATCCTGACCTTATGTGTAACTCTGTTTATTTATACAAATAAAATTTGTATAAATAATTCAAAAACTATTTGCTTTAAACTTCTGCTTTACCCACCAGACCTCTTAAACAAGTAGAGAGTAGGAGGCTTCATTTAATTTCTTTTCTTTTCCCCCTTTACTTTTTGTATGTGAAATAGTTGATAGTAAGAGAAGAAATGAGAAATACAGTAAACCAGGTAATCCATAGATGGATAACTTTGCTCTAACGGAAGGTTGACTTTATCTTAACTTCCCAAACTTCTCTACCACTTTCTGAAATTTTTGTTTCTTTTCTTTACTTCTCTCTTGTGATTCACTTTTGCCCCTCCCTTTCCGTAGGCAGATTTGGTGTAATGGTGTCACTAACGTTCTCGTTGTGTCTTCCCTCCTCTAGCTATCTTAATGACTTGGACCGCGTTGCCGACCCTACCTACCTGCCTACGCAACAAGATGTGCTTAGAGTTCGAGTCCCCACCACAGGGATCATCGAATACCCCTTTGACTTACAAAGTGTCATTTTCAGGTAGTAACTGAGTCCATACAACCCACTTCCCAGCTCTTATGCCTTGAGTACATTTGGTGAACTCTATAAATATTGAAATCATGTGTAGGCTTTAAAATAATATCACCTTTATACCAATTATTATCATTAGATACACAAATGAAATAATGTGTCCCTGAAAGAGAAGGCAGGGGAAAAATGTATGGGTGGGTTTCTCATTTCAGATTAAATCACCAAGAAATCAATGAATTCTTAGTTTTCTGGTGGTTGATCAAAATCAGTTACTCAAACATTGGTCCTGACTATAATATTCGGGGAATGATTTTAACTATGAGGACAATGGATGTATTTTTAGATTAGTATAAGATATAAATGATCTTATGACCCTATTAATAATAGAAATTATATGTTATCAGAAGCTTTCATGTTTTTCCTCCAAGTCCTCTGGTGCCAATGAACAATTTTTCAGTAGCAATAAAAATATGAGATATTTTGTATTTCTAAAGTAAATTGCTTGAAAATTTTCAAAATACATGATTTTGAAAATAGATTGATTAACCTAGTCTAAATTTACATAGGAAAATCACATGAAAATTTATTACTTCCTCTTTCACTGCTGCTATGCTGCCAGGTAATATTTCAGCAGGAGTATTCTAATATTTTTTTTTAAGATGAGAAAAAATAAACAGTACTGATGTACTTTCATTTAATCTCTTATTACACAATCACTCAGTCATACTTTTAGTTAGAATAGAAACCACATGGTGTATTGAGAACTGAAGCCATGGGAATATGTCTTTGAGCATAGAGAGTTGAGTTCCTTGGGAGAGCCCATCCCATTGAAGACAACTACGTACAAGACAGGGTTGTAAAGGAGGAGTTATGTAACTCCTGCTGTGTCGCTCTGCCATGTGACTTTGATGAGCACACCCTCCATCATTCCCTGCCAAAGTACTGTGTGTTTTATTTTAATCAGTCTCTGCACCTGTGGTCGCATCTGGCTGCCATATGCTACTCTAATAGACATATCCATAAAGTGGGTGACGTTTTGGAAATATTTCTGAGCCTCATTTTTTTAAATCTATAAAAGAGTTGCATTAAATGATCACCAAAGTTCCTTATAGCTCCAGCATTCTGGATTACTTAAGTTTTGAGTTCATAGTATTTAGAGATCTTTAATTTGAGACACCCAAATTTCCTTCCTTTTATAACCGTATTACAGAATATTTTCAGAAAACGTATAGCATTTCATAGAGATTTTTATCTCCTCATTGCTTTATAATTAATGAATTCTGAAACCAGCTTACTGTTATATCTTGTTTCTTCTACATTTTGTGCACTAGCTTTTAAAGGACATTTTTGCCACTACAGTAAAAGTAATGACTTAGAAGAATAATTTCCTGCCACTGTCAAAAGCACCTTGTTGGGGCTTATCGTGACAGGATTTCATGGAATGAGGATTTCATGTAAATAAGTAGCATATTATTTACTCAGCATCACGAAAGAGCTAGCATTTTCATTTTTATAAAGACCTAAGAATTCTAGTTTTGATGTCCATAATTCGTAGGTTCTTCTGGATTCATTGTTTTACCCCTTAGGTATTTCTTCCATGCCGTAGAAAACTTTTAGAAGCAGTCACTGGAAGATCCTTGATTTCTTAGTTTAGGTTTAATGCTTGGAGGCAGGAAAACACCAGGAACAACTGTAATTTTCAACAAATGCTTAAAGAGCCCTACTCTCAAACTTTTGTACCTAAACTCTCATTCTCTGAAAGTATTTTATCCTGCAAACATTGTGCACATTTTAGTCAAGAAATAGTTTAAGCAGTTTGCAGAAACTTGGATTCAAGTAGCCAAGTACTGCTAGATATTTTCATGTATACCTGATCACGCAAATGAATTGGTGTCAGTGTTGGTTCCTGAGCAGTAACTCAGCACAGAGCTGATGTGTTAAAAACAAATCCTTGAAATAGTTCAAATAATGGCCTCTTGTAGCATTTTGAAGTTTTATACACTTCACTTGTAGCAGGTTAGCAAGTTGGTTTGTGCATAAGGCTAATTGTACCACGTTACCCAACATGACTGGACTTGTGCCAAATTATTGCCAATATTGGAAGGAAAAAAAAAATAGCCCAAAATGCCTGCCCTACTGATGAAGGATCAGTGGAGTTGTGTTTGCATTTAGTTGAAGCATCTCACACATCCATATTAAAATGTATAATATCTTACATCTTTTAGATGTATTGGTGGTCATTTCTAGCATCCTTGAGAAATACATGAGGATCTTCATTCTCATTTTATAGGAAAAGAACCTCAAGTCTGTATTGGCCATTAGAGCTTAACACAAATAAAACCCATTTGTTTCTGACTCTTCTGTGCTTGATTAAATAAAACACCATTTTGCTTGGCTTGGCACAGGATTGTTTTTTTTTTAAAGTTATAATTTTTATACGTATCAGATAACTTCCTAGTAATCACAATGATTTGTTACCCAGAATGTCTTGACTTTGATTGGTAGGTAACAGAAAATTAGTAGATGTTCAATAAGTATTAATTGAATTGACTTGGATGACCATTCTCTTTAGAGTGTATTTTTCCTAAGTTTGTAAGTAAAGTTATATTTATCTTGATTTTTTTCTTTATATCCTATTAATGTAAATATTATTAACCTTGCAGAATGGTCGATGTAGGGGGCCAAAGGTCAGAGAGAAGAAAATGGATACACTGCTTTGAAAATGTCACATCTATCATGTTTCTAGTAGCGCTTAGTGAATATGATCAAGTTCTTGTGGAGTCGGACAATGAGGTGAGTGCTCTTTGGACAGGCAATGGATTATCATTTTAATATCTGATACAAATAAATGATGGGATGTAGGGTGTGGAATATGGTAAACTGACTTCATTGCTTTCTTAACTATTGATTCGGGGATTTTTTTAAATAACCAAAAATAATCCTGTGCTACCACATGGTATACTCAGAACAGTAAGCTCTTTGTCAGACGTTGTTCAGGTCTGTGTGTTCAAGTCTAATTAGACCCTATTTGATACTTTTTAACTCTATGCAGAGGCTCTGAAAATGAAAATGACATGGAAATCCCTAGGCTAATCATCACATCATTTTATAGCCTTCTTCCTACAGGATGGAGTTGGGAGTGTTGGAGTGAGTCAGCCTGTTTGGTTTTGTTTTCATTTTGTTTAAATCATTGTTTGTGTGATGGGTAGGTCCCAAAGAGTACTCAAAACCTCTTGGCAAATGTGAGTGACTTTGCAGCTGGGCTCTAAATCAATTCATGGTGGAACCAAGAAGTGTCTTGGTGATGTGGCCTTTCTGCTTTTAATAGAATTCTATGGGCTATTGCATAATTTGTTCTCTACCAAGAAGTGAGTGATTGCAAAAGTGTCCTTGATATGCCTGTCTGGAGAACTGATTCAGTAGTGTAATATCCTCCCCGTTACAGGATATTCTAAAGGTATAAATATGGATTTTGAGGATGGTAAAGGCTCGATGTTGAATCAGAGTTGATTATGGAGGATAATTAAGGGGCGTAGAAAACTGTGACTTTGAACTGGAATTCAGTGTGTGTTGGGGGAATGGAGAAGACACCATTGATATCCTGTTAGAGGCAGAGACTGCAGACTGAAATGCCGATAGTTAGTATTAAATATCCTTCTAATAAGGTAGAAAATAAAGAGTGAGTGAGATATCCACAATAGCTCATTAAAATAAGATCTGGCATATTAAAATATGCGTATAATACTGTACGTTTTTTTGATACACAAGAATTCTCGCTTGTTGGTCCTTTTAAATATTTTATTTTTCTGCAAGTATTAATGTCTCCGTTAAAATACATATTCAATCCTCCACAGCATTTCTGTTGTATGTAGGATTGATAAAGAGTTCATGAACCAATATCCCATATAGAGCTGAGTTACCTGTTCGTGCATTTCAGAATCTTTCCCAGGTTACAAGTATATGGGTTTTTGAATCAATTGAAGAACTTCTTTTTAAGAATGAGGTTTATTAACCATTTGCCCTCTGTAGTTGTAATGCAAAGTGCCTGAAAAGCATGCTAAAATACACAAGAATCAGTTATCAAAATTTAAGTTAAGCCATTGCCGTCAGAATTTTAGCTATGATTTCTCTATATATATTTCTGTCTTTATCTGTATCTGTGTCCGTTTGTCGTTCCATAATCCTTGGATGGAGTAGTATGGAACATAGGATGGAATACTACCTTGGATGTGGTAATTGAAACATACTGCATGTTTTGGAAGCAGACATATGACAACATTTCTTATTTCTTTGAATGTTGAATCAAGACTAAAGATATTTTGAGGGATTGTCTCCTATATGCTGGGCACCAGGGTATCTAAAGAGATAACAAATGAAACAAAAACAAAAACAAAAAGACACTTTGCCCTAAAAAACCTCGCAAAAGAGAGACACTTGTGTCAGAATAGAGAATATAGGGGGAGGAAGGCCTTAGTTATATATAGTTCATCATTTCTCTTCTTTAGTTTGCTATCCAGTGAAATAAAAATTATGACATTTATCAACTACTCAGAAGATGTAGGAAGAACACACAAGTTTATTTATGTCACTGTTTACGTTATAGCTGGAGGAAAACAAGTGTTTATCAATCACATTTTATATGAGATAAATACACTATATCTGAAGGAATATATATGATGATTTTATAATTTTTTTTTTTTTAAACTCATTTATTTTTTTTTTGTGAGGAAAATCAGCCCTGAGCTAACATCTGTGCTAATCCTCCTCTTTTTGCTGAGGAAGACAGGCTCTGGGCTAACATCTATTGCCAATCCTCCTCCTTTTTTTTTCCCCCTCCCAAAGCCCCAGTAGATAGTTGTATGTCATAGCTGCACATCCTTCTAGTTGCAGTATGTGGGACTCGGCCTCAGCATGGCCGGAGAAGCGGTGCGTCAGTGCGCGCCCAGGATCCGAACTCGGGCCGCCGGGAGCGGAGCGCGTGCACTTAACTGCTAAGCCATGGGGCCAGCCCTATATATTATGATTTAATGCTAATCAATTTACCACTTTAAAATTTGCAAAACAGAAAAGAAAGTAGATTTCTTAGGCAACTCACCAGTTAATTCTAGCATGTGAATCCAGTTCTTCAATTATCTGGATATTACAGATCATATTCATTTTTTCATCTGACATTGCTCATGGATATCAGGTTTTTGTGTAAAAGTATATTATTTTATATTAATTAGAATAAGATGACATTGTTTTGATTATCAGATATAATTCAAGTTTCCACGGTAACTTGCCATTCAATATCTAGGTACTATGTACATCTAAAAATATTTTCCCTGTTTCTTTGATTCCTGTGGTGATGGATTATGCTATAAATTGAAATAATAAATTGATTATTTTTTCATTAAGACTCCCTAATCACTTGTGAATATTTTGAAAGCCTACCTTGTAATTCTATGAGAAAAAAGTTATTTAATGGTGTTCTTTTCTCAGAACTCAAGTCAAGCCTGATGGTAGTATTGGAGATGATCTTAAGCATACTAAGAAAAATACTGCTCAGTAATTACTTCATTGATGTTAGCCACAGCCATCACTGTTGGTTATTAGGAAATACCGTCTAAAGTATTTTTTTTTCCTGAGGAAGATTCACCCTGAGCTAACATCTGTTGCCCAATCTTCCTCTTTTTTTTTTTTGTATTGATGTTTTAATAGTTTATAACATTGTGAAATTTTGGGTTGTACATTTTTGTTTGTCCATCACCATATAAATGTCTCCCTTCACCCCTTGTGCCCACCCCCCACCCCCATTGTTCCTGGTAACCACAATACAGTTTTCTCTGTCCATGTGTTGGTTTACATTCCACATATGAGTGAGATCATACAGTGTTTGTCTTTCTCTTTCTGGCTTACTTCACTTAACATAATACCCTCCAGGCCCA